CTTTTGCTCAGCTTGCGTTCAGTTAAAACCTAATCTTAGTCAGATCTTAAATATATGATCTTCTGTTTGATCTGGTCTTTTTGGCTTATCTTGTGTAATTTTCAGCATAAATGCAGGATTTTAGGTTCATATCTTCACCTCCCATCTTGGGTATTTCAGCCTATGTTTCGAGGTTGCCAAGATAATTCTGAATGTTGATTGTATTATCCGTGTTGTTAACGGTTCCTCCAGACAGTGGACCATGTGCACCTTGGTTATGTATCCTTCTTTGTGTTTGTCTTAGTCATGAATACAGTTTTAAACATGTTCATGGGAAATAAAGACTCTGTTTATTTGGTTTTTTCCCTCAACCACTTTTGAAATGTGCTTTTCTAAAGTGCAAGGTATTTTAGGGGATTTCAAAATGTTCATGGAAAAGTGAAATTAAACTATAAAAATAAAAAATACCAACCACTTCTTGATCTCCATTACTTTGATGGCGCCGTGTCTGCTGTGTTGTCCTGGCAAAGCTAAACTTCATCTTCTATAATGTTCTTGGAAGAAATGCGTCAGGGTCTTGATTCCATTTGTTACATTTTCTACTGAAAGGTTTGCCCTTGCCTGCAACTGATCAGGGTGTAAGAGTTTGGTACTTACGAAACAGAAAGTTGGTTCAAATTAAGTTTTCAATTGCAGTATGTAAGCAGAATCAGTTGAGATGTCTATGATGTTGGCTATTGTTTCTGCTGTAAACTGTTGGTACTTTTCAACCAGGGCACAGACCAGATTAATTTTTGTCTCGTAATTGATGCGGGTGTCTGCTGCGGTGGGCTTCATCTTCAACCTTGGTTTTCCCCTTCCTAACACAGGTCATCTCTTTGGAAGCCTGCTGATTTCTTTGGGCCATTGGCCCCATACACTTTTTGTACATCAGTGATGTCACCATTCTTCAAGCCAAGCTTTACCATAAATTTGACATTTGCCTTTGCTTCAGTTTTGCATGTTGCTCTGCTACATCAAACTGATGTCATATCCTTCTTAGTACCTCAAATGTGTTCAGATGTTTTGTAACAAGTTAGTATGGAATTACTTTTTTTCTGCAAACTTTAAAAAATATTTTATATACACTGTCCTTCATAATTGATCTATGAGTAGGTGCATTTATAGACATCCTGGCTGAACAGGTATGGGAGGGAGTGTGGGAGTATCTATGTATGCCCATAAGTATAGATAATGGTTGATAGACACTATATGCACATGTCTATTTACCTTTGCTACAAGTATAGCTATCAATGCGCTTGGTGGTATACCAGGAACAAATATGAAAGTGCCTTAAATAGAACCAAATGCCTCTAGGGAATGAGTCTCTGGGCCTGGGGGTTCAGGACCATTGTCTTACAGACACAAAGGCTCGTTGAATTAATGTAGTTCACAAAGACGATGTGCTATATCCTAGTTAGGTGAGTAGCAACTAGGGTTTGTTGTTTTCTTCCTATCCATAGGAAAGAAGATTGATGTAAATTGAAAGCCCGATGGGAATAATTAGTCTAATGGACTAATGGATCATGCAGCTTCCATCCCACAGCCCTGAGATCAGAACTAGATGGTGCCTGGCTACCATTACTAATGCTCTATTTATTACATTTATTTATAAAACAGAAAGTAGAAGCGTAGTAGGCATTCTACTCTTTGAGTTTTACTTCTATTAGAAGATCTTAGAATAATAACAACTTTCTCTTGCTTTTACACTGGATTGGGCTACAACTCTTGTAATCTTTTCTGGGTAGACAGTCCATAGACTGTATACTGCTGTAACAGTATAACTTGATATATCTTTTTTTAGTTCCTTGCTCTTATTTACTGCATTACCTTTATTAAGCTAATGAGTTTATATCTTGGAATAACTTCTAGGATTTAGTGGAAAGAGCACAGGACTTAACTTTGAAAATTTCTGGATTTGAGTCTGGCCACACTATGTGAACCTGAACAAGTTGTTTCAGCTCCACAATGGAAGTCCATTTCATTATTTATGAATTAGAGGTAATAGCATTTCATTTTTACTAGAATTGCAAAAACAGGTAATCTGACTGCCAGAGGCTTATATACATTTTGCATTTGTTTCAAATAACAAGCAATCAAGAGATGGATAATCTAGTACAAGATGGTAGTTCCAAAAACATATTGGGGTATTAGACTCTTTCTGTTACACCATCAACCACAGTGTCTTTTGCCATAAGACTTCTTGCCTAACCACCCCAAAATGGTTCTTTTTTAAATTAAGAAACCATTTTATTGGGAGCTCTTACAGCTCTTATAACAATCCAGACATAAAATGGTTCTTATAATTCAAACCCGCTCTCTGTCACACATAAAGAATACGACAAATCAAGACGCTAAAGGGAAAAGCTATTTTTTCCTAGTGAGGTTTTGCATTTAAGTTGGCAAAGGAAGTCCACGTGTGGCTCATAGGCCAGACCTACATTACATAGCCACCTATTGCTGCAAGGTAATCTGGGATTTTTTTTTTTTGCTCTTCATTTTCTCTATTAGAGACAGAATTGTGTTTCCAGTATGAGTCAGCTGATCAACAATGTTTGCCCCGTGTTTTTAATAGGATGGTTGGATAGATTTCATGGGATTTGAAAGCTTTGTAGAATGTAATCAAAATAGATGTAAACTCTATTATTCCTACGCCTACTATTGGATGATTTTAAGGACTAGCACACGTGTATCTTTGAATTAGCGTATTCTAATTTTGCATGTAAGCTTCAGAAAAATCTATGAAATTAGTTACTTGCTTTTGTCAAGTGATTTCACTTTAGAAATTGGCCTAAATATGCCTAGGCATAAATACTGCATTATATCCAGCCAGCTCCCGATTTCATCTACAAATTAATGAGGACCATTTCCACATCTGGCTGATCTTTGTGTGCCACCCACCCTAACCCTCGTAGTCACGGGTTTGTATTTTACATCTGGGCTTCTCTCTCTCATTAATAGATTTTATTTTTTTTAAAGAGCAGTTTTAGGTTTACAGAACTATCACGCAGAAAGAACAGAATGTTCTCATTTCCAGCCCCTCCCATTGTTTCCCCTGTTAACATCCTGCATTCCCGCTGTACATTTGTTGCAATTGATGACTCAATCGTGATACGTTATTATTAACTAACGCCCATCATTTATATCAGGGCTCCCTTGTGCCATCTAGTCCTGTGGATTTTGACAAATGCTTAATGTCTCTCATGTGTCCACCGCTATAGTAGTTCTGCCCTAAAAGAGTATCTTGTGTTCCACCTAGTCATCCTTCCCTGCCCCTTTGGCCACTACTGATCTTTCCAATGACTCTACAGTTTTGCCACGTCCAGAATGTCACACAGTTGGCATCATACTGTATGTTGGTTTATAGACTGCCTTTTTTTTTTTACTTGCAGTAGACCTTTAAGATTTTGCAACCATTACCACTATTTACATGTAAAATGTTTTCATCCCCAAACAGACAATCTGTATCCATTCAGCAATAACTCCTCATTGCCCTTTGTCCCCATGGTATCCACTAATATACTGTCTGCCATTATACTTTGTCTTTCAGATATTTGTATAAATGGAGCCCAACAAGATTTGATCTTTTGTGCCTGCCTTATTTCACTTCGTGTAATGTTTCCGGGGCTCGTTCATGCCTCTCCGGGCTGGGTTTAGGGCTCAGTGATGGCTCTGAAGATTATGGTCCGGCAGGTTGTCCTGCTCCTCATGCTACATGTCCTAAATTTCGTAGGTGTCGTTGATCATTGCTTCAGGAGTCAACTGTTAGTACTCCCAACCTTTCTTATTCGTTCCCTCACCCAAATCCATTGGTGCCCATGGTGGCAGAATGGCTAGTTGGAAGCTCTTTCTACGAAATTCTTCAGTGAGATTCTTAGCGCTCTATCATTTTGAGAGTTGCCATCTAGACGGCTGTTGACAGGATCATTTGTTTCCAGAAGAACTACCTGAATTATGCTTTAATTTGCAAAAATAAACAAATAACTCCCGAGCATGAAAGCTCCCTGCTGAGTGGGAAGCCTTCTAGATGAATGTTTCTTTTTGAGAAAAGCTGTCTTTTGGAGCACATCTGTTTTGAGTAAAATCACACTGAAGAATAAGAAGCAGCCTGTTGCTAATGGGAAGATAATTGGTAGAGAGGCAGATCTACAGAGAGACGCTGGCCTTCCCCTTGTGCTCACACCAGAGACCCCCAGACTAGTCGGGGCTGACAGAGTGCTTTTCCGGTCAATAGAGGTCCAGGAACATCAGCAAGAGGAACATCACAACTCACTCACAAAATGGTAGCCCCAAGTGGAAACGAGACTGGTCGAGGGGTGAATTTTAAAATAGCTTAAGGGTCCTGGATACACCTAAGGGTCCAATGGCATGAGGTAGAGGACATGGCCTCTCTGTCACAAGTGTTCAGGCACTTGTCTTATTTTTTCGTATGGGCAATGGTAAAAAAATACAAAGAAAGAGGCCTGGAGGTACCGTATATACTCGTGTATAAGCTGAGTGTGTCAGCACATTTTTAATGCTGTTTTTGTGGTAAAATTAGGCGCCTCGGCTGATATTTGGGTCAGTCTATACTCGAGTATATATGGCAAATACATCCCGGAAGTGGGCTGAGAATGAGACTGGAGGAAGGAGAATCTTAACTGAGGCCAGAGAGAGCTAGGAAACGCAAACATCTCCAAAGAATTTAGAAATGCGCAGGCATTTCTTGGACGTATGATTGGGTCTCTGTGAGTTGGCGTCGCCGCCATGGCAGTGAGTTTGGTTTGGAATTCTAGTGTTGGAGAAACCGTCAGTTCTAGTCCCTCTGGATCTCTTCCGTCTGATGAAAATGCTGGTCGTCTAAGTTTTCACCCTCTTTTAGAGAAAGGAGACCACCCGATCCACCATCAAAAGAAAGAAGAGAGGGGGGGGGGCAACACGCCTTTACGGGGGTCGTCCTTGGTTTTGCTTTTGCTGCCTGCCTTCTTTCTTTCTTTTTGTAGACATTGTTCGAAGTGACGTTGCCTTGGATAAACAGAAGGGCTGCAAGATTGCCCAGCATCCCGATGTGATGTTGGAGCTCCAGAGGGAGAAGGCCGCTCAGATGCACCTCGTTCTTCTCAAGGAGCAATTCTCCAACACCTACAGTAACCTCATATTAACAGGTAAGGCTCCTGGAGTCCGCCGCAAGCCTGCAGCTCCATCGGCCTTTCTCACTTAGCAGCTTGGTGCTTGGGAGATGCTCGAGGGGGATCCAAATGAGTCCACGCCTGTCTGTATAGGCTCACCCAGTATAGCCCGTTGTTCAATTGCGTTGACTCTTGTCTTCCTATAACAAAGATTTCTGGTAGTTTACAGATGTAGTTTGGCTTGAGGCTACAGGCGATGCAGCATGTGTGTTCTCAAATGACAGGACCAATGGAAACCTAAGGAAGCCTTGTAAAAATATGACTTTCTAGATGTGTGCCAGTAGACTTGAGAGAATTACTAAATTTGGTGTCTTTTAAGAAGCAGCTATTTGCCTCTTTGTGTAGATGCCCTGTGTGTGAACCCAGTGAATATAAAGATGAAATGTAAAAGAGATAATGATCCACAGGCAGAGCGGAGAGTGTTCTATTCCGGGGGCGTTGGAAAGTCTCTGGGGAATTTGACGTTCTTTTTAAGAGCAAAGAGGCTGTGGGATCGAGCCACACATTCTCAGTTCTCTGTGAGAGGGCCACGGAGAAACAACTCTTAGTGGGCTGCCTGCAAGCTTTTCTGCGGTCCATACCTCTGTCGGGTTTTGAATAAGAATAGAAGGTTCCAAGGTGAAAATCATGAAGGATTTTGGATGATTTCTTTCTGTTTTCTTGAGAGCGTGCAAGACAGGTCTGCACTGTATCGATCTAAATAAACTTTAACAAACCGAAAGTATGTCTTTTCCTCGTTTATGAATATCAGAAAGAAAAAGAGATGGGCCTTCTGTCAGGCGGTGAATAACAAACACACTTAACCAACACCACCAACAACTCCAAATTAGAAAATGTTAACTTTTTTTTTTTTGCAGACCTCTTGGCATTTCACCAGGAAATGCTGAGTGGCAACCACATAGCTTTGCTCTTGGAAACGCATACGAGTCTTCTAACTTTTCATCTGTACCTGGTGGGAAGCCCCACACCATGAGATGAAAGCCAGATGGAAATGTGGCCGTTGTGAGCAGAGAAGAGGATTATGGATTTCATAAATGTGGGCCCTGGTTTTTGCTCTTTGATTGGGCATGAAGGAGGGGAAACTGGAAGGGGATTTATGGTCAGTCCATGCACTTTTCTACATGGTGGAAAAGGTGGCTGAGATTGGGGTTAAACCTGAGATGTTTGAGAAGAACTTACATTTTTCTCCAAATTTCTTCCATCCAGCCCACATTTGCATGTGTCCATGTATTTATTATGCTTGAGTTCAATGATTAGAAATAAAGTATTTTTATCCCGTATTCTACTATTTTTATGGCACCTATTACAGGAGTCAGATCTTGTGTTTCTCTAAAGTGACAGAGAAATGGCTTCGGGTAATTCTAATCCTAAACTGTGAATCTGGACTGTGTGACTTGAGGGCATGTTATTATCTTTGAGAACACAAGTGTTCTCTTGAGTTCAATGAAATCTTTTCTGATTCTCAGTAACGTAATCCCCTTGGATGTTTATTCCGAGTTCCAACCGTAGGAATCAACATTGTCAACTTTTACCCTGACAACTTGCTTACTTTCCACTAAACAAACTTAGCCTCGAGAAGAGCCTCCTTCCTGCTCTCGCTTCTCCCAGCCTGCTTCAAAGCGTCCACAGGCATTTCCCACATGTTTCACGGAAATGCCTGCGCAGAGGTGGAGCCTGGCCATTGACGGAGCATTCGTTGTGCCCCGGTTTGTGTACATGAAAGTTCATAAGGGTTTGGTTCCAGGTGCTGGGGCGAGATGGGGCCATCCCATGTAGCACCGATGACCAGACTATTTTAATGTCCTTTAACTAAGTCTTTGATTTTACACAGTGCGGTTTTCTAATTGTTATGAAGTTTAATCCGTGATTTCTTGTATAAATCTTGAGAACATGGTCTCCAGACAGCTAAACATAATATTTAAAGCTAACTAAACGAACTTTGGTAAATATTTCCCTTTCCGGTGATGAATGTATATTGGTAAGGAGGACGGGGTTGAAGGGGCAGATGAACTGGCTTTCTTTACCCGCACCTTCTGAACACCTATTCCGGGGATGTCCCACTTAGTTTGCACACCTCGGCATCAAGTGTGAAATATCAGCAATGGAAGTATTTAAGTGAGACGTTTGGCCTCCAAATGATCAGAAGTTGAACACTGTTTTTAACCCCACTCCCCGCAATTATTGATAGAATTTCAGGGCTATGTATAGCAAATGCAACAGCTAAGCTCGCAGTGAAAATGTAAGTATCATAAAAACAGGAAAGGGACTGAAATATCAGATGGGTAAACCTGTTTGGAAGTGGTAGTTATTAGATATTCTTCTCTCCCTTACCTGCAAGCCCTCATTGTTAGCCGATGGGACTACGTCCATGGGTTGTGTCCCGCTTCGTGGTTGCTCCTGATGAGGGCACGTTATGTTCTAGTTTAGCGGGTTTTCTAACTCTTTAACCAAAAGGAAATAATGCTACAGCCCAGTTAATGAAAACAAATCCAATTCTCTAATGTCTATGTTTCATACATGCATTCCTCCTTACATCACCTTTTTAGGAAAGGGGGTTGTCCTGTCATTTCACACGGGCTTGAATTTGTCTTAGTACCTTCGTGTGAATGATTGACAGGATTTTGGAAAGAATGTGAGCCTCAGCTCGACTAGAGAGTTTGGGAAGCAGACTCTGAGGTTACAGGAAAATTGTGGAGCAATTCCAGGGCAGCTTCAGGACAAGGAGAATCTTAAATGGCCATGCAGCACCCTTCCCACGGACTCACCAACATGTCTGCACATGCTTCTCCTGCAGCTTCTTGAGTACGATAGTGTGAAGCATTGTGCACGTCAGATACTATTAGTTGTTCTCAAGGAGTGACAAATAAGAGGGGTGTAGGGAAGGAGCTTCAGAGAAAGAACAGGTATGTCATGGGCTTTGCACTCCCATGAATTTTTAAAAATCTTTTTATTGGGAGCTCTTACAGATATTACAATAATCCATAATTCAATTAGATCAAGCATAATTGTACAGTTGCTGCCACCATCATTTTCAAAACTTTTTTTTCTTGAACTCTTTGGTATCATTATCCCCTCCCTCCCCCACCCTGCCCTCCGGGAACTCTTATTATTATATTACCGTTATATATATTTTACCATATCTTACACAATGTATCCATTCACCTACAATTCTGATGTTCATTCCCCACAAGTGGGGTTATACAGTCATCATAATTGCTGTCGGTTTTCCCTGCGCCCCTCCCTCCCTTCTTTTCCTGTACCCTCAGGGAGTCATTACTCCCAATTCTCTTTCTGAAGGGTTTATCTATCTTGAATTTCATGCGCAGAATGACCTGAATTATACAAATGAACATCCACAGGTCTCACAAGATTAATGAGGTGAAACTAAGACCTTAATAGTACGGGGAGGAAATATTAAAGAACTAAAGGATATTTATGTATTTCATCAGTGCTATCGTGCACCCTGGATCTATCTTCCCTTCCGTGTGGCTGTTTTTAATTTTAATATTCTGCATTTCATTTGATTCTGTGAGGAACTGTCCAATTATCTTACAGGTGGGTTTTGGGTCTCCACTTTGTCCACACTCCTTCACATCAATCTGATTGTTTGTTTTTGAATTTCTGATACCTATTTCCGTTGACATCTCCTAATCACACAGACAGGTCTGATTCTTCCATGTGGGTTTTGTTGCTTCCCTGATAGATGGCCACTGGGTTAGCTTCAAGCCTTTAAGATCCCAGATGCGGTATCTTTTAATAACCAGGCACCATCATCTTTCTTCACCACATTTGCTTATGCACCCATTTTGTCTTCAGCAATGGTGTTGGCAAGGCATGCCAACCATGATTCTTAATGCACTCCTGCTCTGTATATTTGTTGGAAGTATCCTGTTATATTCTTAATGAATGAGTTCACTTGAAGACATCTTCAGGAGGAATATGGACTTCTGTTAACTAACTTGCACAGGTTCAGATTCAGTTCTGTTTTATCTTTTCTCCTCCCCCTCCTTTCTTTCTTTAGCTATAAATTGAGCTTTTGTGGAAGATCTTTATCCTGCAATCAAATGAAATGTAGAATACTAAAATTAAAATACAGTCATAAAAGGTAGCACTGTTCTAAGGATCTTATTTAGAAGATAAACTCTTGGAGGGCAAGAAGCACTCATTTGGGCAGCATTCTGGATAGCATTTAGAGCAGAGTGAATAATCTGGAAATGAGGTCACGTTTTTAAACAACAGTGTTCATGCTTGGAAGTCACCGATCCACCCTCTGTATACAGGTAGAGCCTGAGATGCAGGTATTGTAAATGCATGCCATTGCTCAAGGCACTTTCTGATATTCCCTTGTAAGGACTCTTGTCACATCACTGGCCCCACTTCTGGTTTTTCACCTCTTTCTCCAGTCGTTGGAAGCTCCCGGTTGGCTGGAATTCCAATGAGCTGGCTTTACTGTGTTAGTGTGGTAAATGGATCGAGCACAAGAGTTTGGCACTTCCTTGTTATGGCCCATTCTGCTAAGATTAATTCAATGAAAGGGCTCAGATTAGTGGAATGAAAACCTTTCATTTCCTTAAACCATAATGCTCAGGGGACTAGTTCTGGATAACGTTAAAACTACAATAGCCAACCAAGCAAATCTCCCTACTTTATTTTCTTAATTCTTCTTCTGTGACATTTTGCTCGCCTATTCCAACCTAAAATAATCTTCATTTGTACTGTTATTTAACAACAGTCTGTGCCACTAACTTGGCAATTTGGTAGACCTTAAAAGTGATTTCTGCTAACACCTGTTTCGTTGAAGTCAATGTCAAACTTATTTTTTCATGAGTGGCTTGAATAAATTATGTTCCAGCCTCAAAATGTACTGTATGTGTTCTTAGCTTCTCAAAGTGAGACCACGCACTCACTTTCAGGATACTGTGAGACCACCTGCTTCTCTCTTTACGCAGTTTTCCTTCTTCCTTTCCTCCCAGGGA